AAAAAATATTGTTAAAGACGGAATTTTGGAGGAACTAATCGATTGGACTGTAAAACAAGACCACCACGTTAAATTATTTATGTTTTATTTGACCCGGCGAGTAAAGGAATATGGCCCGACAAGTTTGAAAGAGTTGCACTTGCACTTGCACAGTTGTTACACTGAACCCACTCTTAGATCACCCTCGGGCAGTATTAAATGGGTCCCATGCCCCATGTACATGTAAAATTGAAAAATTGCCCCATATCAGCAAAAGCTTACAAAATATTAGTAGTATTTATATCTTTTCCTAATTAATTATTGCTACGTGACAAACGAACTCGTAAAATTATAAAATACTATATACAAGTCGGTAAAAGGAAATAACAATCGGTTCATATCATGCATAGAGTGAGGACAACGTCTTGGGATACGGGCAATATCTATTTTTTATTTTTTAATTATTTAGGATGCTGAAGTGAATTTCCTCTGTTTATTTTATTCATTGAAGGCCGGTTGGCCCTCTACAGGCTTCCTTTTAAAATAAATTTGTCCTAACTATAGCAACAATTGCTCACACATTTTCTTCTGTGAATTACCTCATTAACTCAGCTCCTGATCGGTAAAATGGCCGTCTCCGGTGCTTACGTGAAAGTAAACGGATCCACGCTGCCGTACTTCACTGGCCGTAAGCTTAACTATGGAAGCAAAAAACAGGTTCGAGTTTTTCCAAAATTTTGCTTCGGTTTTGGGCATGAAAAAGTAGATTTTTAAGATGATTTTCCAGAAGCTATGCGTGTTACATTATTGTTCTTTAACTGTCTTTAATTAATGGTGACGGTTGTATGAAAAATATGTTGTCAGTGGTGTGTGAAAGCATGTAAGGGTGGGTCAGAAGCAGAGGAAGGCAAGAAGATGATGGTGGTTAATAATGAAAAGGATTGTTTGAAGATAGATTTTTCTTCAGGGGAAAAGCCACCCACGCCCTTGTTGGACACCATTAACTATCCGATTCACATGAAAAACCTCTCCACAAAGGTACACACACTTCCATGTGTAACTCAGTATTTTGTAATGTAATAATCTTCTTGTGAGTTGACTCGGATCTACTGTTGTGAGTTCACACATAATGAATGCCTTTTAGTTGGTATGTAAGACGAATCAGGTAATTGGAAGACCAAAATATGTGTTTCAAGGTTGATTTAAAGATGAGAAAAATTTAACCTTCTGCAAATGTTTCGGTGCTCAGGATCTGGAGCAATTGGCAGCCGAGCTTAGAGCGGAAATCGTGCACACTGTGGCAAAAACTGGAGGACACTTGAGCTCAAGCTTAGGAGTGGTTGAGCTTACAGTGGCCCTGCACCATGTTTTCAATACCCCTGATGACAAAATCATCTGGGATGTAGGCCATCAGGTAAGCATTGCTTTTTTTCTTTCACCAAAAAGATAAATAAAATATAATTATTCAACAATTGATAGCAACAATACAATTTTCAGACCTATGGGCACAAAATCCTGACCGGTCGGAGGTCGAAAATGCACACCATCAGGAAAACTTCAGGGCTAGCCGGCTTTCCAAAAAGGGACGAGAGCATTTATGATGCTTTTGGGGCCGGGCATAGCTCCACAAGCATCTCAGCTGGACTCGGTAAATTTTTTTCACCACGGCACTGTACGGATTTTCAATTTCACAGAGCAAATTGCAATTGA